ACCTCATCATGATGTAATTATTTTAGTATCATCTCTGCCCCAAGGTCTTTCCTTGGTGTAACTTTGATGACAATCGAAGATAGCTGAGTATTAACCAAAATGATGCCTCAAAAACGTGTACAAAGTCAATGGGCTGAAATAAATATTGAAGAATCAATACTAAATCACATGATGATGTCATCATGACATCATTGTTCTATGCACATCTTTGAACTAAGATCCTTCAATGATATAAGTTTGATGAAGATCCAAGGTTGCAAACGGACCAAAGTTGATGGTGGAAGAAACGTGCACAAAAAAATGGGCTTTTGGTTAGAAGAGGAAGAAAAAAACACACAACAAAAAGAATGCTTTTTTTTTGCAAAATTGCAAAAAAAACAAAAACAAAACGAGAGGTCATCTGTCTGTTTGCCAACGGAACAGAGGGGTTTTTTGCATTCTTTTGTACATCATTTTTCGTATATAACACCACTTTTTTAAAAAATCTGCAAGGGTTCAACCTGAAAGAACATGTACTTCAAGAGACATAGGGCTTTTAATGTCATGTGACTTGTTTCCTGATGACGTCATCATTACATGAGGTCAATATTCCTCTAAAGCAATCCCTTTTCAAGATATCTACAAGATTTGAACCCGATCTGACATCTACTTTAGGAGATACAGGGCCTTAAATAGTGCACCCTTAATGTAATGTGACTTGTCTGCTGATGACGTCATTATCCCATGAGGTCAAATTTCCTAAACAATACGACCACTTCCGGTTTCGACCGGAAGGAAGGGTCATTTGATTTGACCCTCACAAGATGAATTCAAGACCACATTTTATCCTGCCACTTGCTGCAAACAAAATGTTGCGGGAGGCCGCGGTTGATTTTATATGCATTTTTGTAAATTTAACGGAATATTTAAATATTCAAAATTTAATAATATGTCATGTGATGACATCATCATGACGTAACTATTTAAGTATTATCTTCATTTCATAGTTAGTGCTTGCTGTAACTTTGAATAAGATCAACGATTGCTAAGGTACCAAAATAGTACCTCAAAAACGTGTACAATATCAATGGGTTGAAATAAATATTGAAAAATCAATAATAAATTAGTTGATGTTTCTAGGACCATCTATGCATAAGGGTTCGTCATTGGTATAAGTTTGATGATAATCCAAAGTTGCAAAAGCACTAAAGTCACCGGTAGAAAAAACGTGTACAAAACAAACAGGCTTTTGAGCAGGAGAAAAAGAAAGAAGGAAAAAAAAACGGAACAAAAAGAATGACCTTTTCGCAACTTGCGAAAAAGCCCCCCCCAAAAAAATATGTAACAATTCTGACGAAAACAAAAGCTGTTCCGGCTGTTGTTGAAACAGCTAACTAGAGCTCATCTGTCTGTTTGCCAACAGAACAGCGGGCTTTTTCGCATTCTTTTGTTAATTTGAACAAGCAATCTACTGCACAAACCTGATAGCGTAATTATTTCATCATGACTATTTGGGTCCAAGGTTTCAATCAGGCATGCACTATAGGAAATAACTTGTTTTGAATAAAATATAATTTGACTCCTGATTTGATGTCATCTTTACATCAGGTAAATCTTCGACTACAACACTTCCTTTTCTTGTAATCTGCAAAGTTTCAATTGGATGAATTTTAAGGTCACAAGTCTTGTCACCTGGTGACGTCAACATCAAATGAGATCAATAACCGTCTAAATCACTTCCTTTCTAAGGTATCAGCAAGGTTTGAACCCATTTGGATATATTCTTCAGGAAATATAGAGTTAAATAGTGCACCTTCAATGTCACATGACTTATCTCCTGATGACGTCATTATCACATTAGGTCAATATTTGCCTAAAACACTTCCTTCCCAAGATATCAGCGAGGGTTCAACCCAATTGGACATGTACTTCATGAGATATGGAATTTTAAATAGTGACATCATCACATCAAGTCAATTTTTGGATAGTACTTAAAGGATCAAACTTAAATGTCATGTGACTCGTTTGCTGATTGTATTGTCATGACCTGAGATCAATTTCCATTTATAAACCTTCCCTTCCTAACTATCTGCAAGGTTGCAACCCAATCAAACATGTACAGGGTGTCCCACAAAAAAACCAAACCCTGAGGAAAGGGGTTATTATGCCCAAACCATGAGATATGATTATAAAGTAGAAGCTGTATTCTTACTAATGATAGCTTAATGGTATCCCTCCTGTCATGCATGACTGAACACCATTGTCTTGAAAATTGGGCATCCAAACTCAGTTGTAACATTTTGGATAAACCAGTGAATGACGTTGTCCTCTGTCATGCTTGTCGTGGTGGAAAGTGACAACAAAAGGTCATATTAATGAGAGGATATTGCCTTTTGTCACTTTCATGTTATGCAATAATCTGCTTTAAATGTGTTAACCTGCCCCAAGATAGGCCAGTGCAGTGTTGAAAAGTGTTTGTCATGACAAAATTTCTTGAAAACAAGAGCTTTTAAGCCACTCAAGCTGCATTTAGAAAAGCTTTCCCTGATAGGGATCCAACACCAAAGTCGACCCTCTTGGAAAATGTGCGCAAATACTGAGAACATGGGACAAGCTTTAATTTGAATAAGGGTCATTCGGGAAGGAGGTGCACAGTGCAAACTCCTAAAAAGTTGCTGCAGTTCGACAGCAACTTGTCAAACAGCCAAGGGGAACCAGTTGCAGGAGGAATGGACTTGGACACACAGATGGTGTCGCTGCATAATTAACTACAAATTACATGATGTGTATATAATCGGTGTGCCCCTGATATCTTATCCATGTGTCTTTAAAGTTTCAACCCGATCAGACATGTATTTCAGGAGATATACAGCACTTCAAAGGATGCAATATTAATGTCATGTGAATTGTCACCTAATGATCATGAGATCATCACGAGATCAATGTTGGTCCATAACATTTCTCTTTTCTAATTGTCTGCGTAATTTCATGCCAATGGAATATGTGCATTTGCTGTTCAGGAGATCTGTGGATAGGACTACTGACAACAGACTTCACAAACCTGTTATTAGACTTTCAGTTCAGTTTCATTTGTAAGCGAGACCAAAAATCAATGTCCATTCAATATCAGTTTAGAATAAGATGACTTCGATTGGGATATCAGAGACAAACACAATGTTTCCCTCGCCTACTTTGAAGAAAAATGGGCAACTAACAATGAATAGTGATTTCAAATGCTAATGCTTAATTCAATTCTCCGCATACTTTTTTGCCTCATCCCTGGCGAAAATATTTTCAAATGTGGGGAAATTATCAGTCAGATAATACAAAATGCGGAATACCATCAAGTGAGGGCACACTTCAGTTTTCTTGTGAGGGATTTGATTGCCAGAACAAGGATTCTCTGCAATACGGTGAAACGGCTTTGTAAAATCACCTTAACACCAGAGGATATGGGTTTGCTAGGGCCAGCAGTATACACAAACAAAGAGATGTCGACTTCAAAGACGGGAAGAAAAATAATGCAAACATAAATTTCATACAATTCTTTCAAAAGTAGATCTTATTTTCTATCAACATGCAGTAACTGGACAAATGATTACTTTTAACAACTGTATCTGTGAGTGTACATCAGCACAAACTCAAGACTGTGCAATTTAAGCGTATGTTAAGAAATGCATGTACTCTCAAACAATCTCTCAAATCCCGCCTGGATTGGGATATCAGTGGGATCCCAGTGGGATCCGGGATCCCAGTGCAATCCCACCGGGATCCACTGGGATGGGGTGAGATCCCACCAGGAATTTTTGTCGGGATTTGTGTGGGATAGCCATTATCCCGGTGGGATTCCACTCACATCCCACTGACATATCCCAGTTTGACGCAACTGACATCCCACTAGGTGCACATGTATTCATTGGCATAGCAACCTTGCATTCTCACTAGGTGGGGAGTACGTGGGGACCTGACTGTTAAAGTGAGGGACCACGCACACGCCCCAGAAAAAAAGTGACTAGGATCCCGGTGGGAATCCCACAGGGATCCCACTGAGATCCCACTGGGATGCGGGATGGGAATCTACTTGAATCTCAGGGTGGGATCCCATCCCATTTTTGGTGGGATCCCGCCGGGACTGGGATCCCGTCTGGATTGCGATATCAGTGGGATCCCAGTGCAATCCCACCAGGATACGGCAGTATCCCACCAGGAATTTTTGTCAGGATTTGTGAGGGATCGCCATTATCCTAGTGGGATTTCACTCACATTCCACTGACAAATCCCAGTTTGACGCAACCGACATCCAACTAGGAATCCCAGTTTGATGCAACTGACATCCCACTGGGATCCCAGTTTGATGCAACTGACATCCCACTGGGATCCCAGTTTGATGCAACTGACATCCCAGTTTGATGCAACTGACATCCCAGTTTGATGCAACTGACAATCCAACTGGGATTCCAGTGGGATGAAAGTGACATCCCATTGATATCCCACTTTTGTGCAAGTGACATCCCATTTGGGATGTCATCTTATTCCAAACTGTCAATTATGCTACTCAGAGCTGGAACACTTAAAGTGCATTTCTTTATTCTTATAGGCAGCAGCTATCACTTTCATACTCAGGCTTATGTTCCTTTTGTACAAGGAGTGCCGAAAATATACACACAACAGCTTTGGAATGTTTGGTCCTAATCACGTTTGCGTGGGCACATAATAATTTGAAGAGGGATATAGGGACTTTCTCTTCTTTGCTGGTGAGGGTGCTCTTCTGCTCATGGGTAGATCTCATCTCAACATTTGCAGGCCTCTTGTAGTCTTGCGGCAATGAACTGTACTTAATTAATGTCCCACGTACATGCTGGGTACCGAAGTATTTCTTTTTACATTTGCTAAACAGGTTTGAACAAAATCTTGGCAATGTCTGACACAACAGGTGCTTGTTCATGTACATGCCATTTGATGTGTGTGAAAAAGACAGTTCTTCCGATTTTTAATGTACATTTTGAACTTTAAATTCACAGTCTGAAGATGAAGCCATGACTCGAGCAATACACATGTCATTAACTGAGCAGCAGCCAGGTAAATCCAGCCCTGATCTACATGTACATCAAGATCAAGAAGCAATGGATCTAGCATTAGCTAGGGCACTGCAAGAAAGTGAAAGGGAGGAACAACAAAGGAGGCGTCAGGTGGGAATATAAATATGGAGAATATTACATACTCTATGTGGCAGGTGTGAGAATCTTTACTACCCACTGCTGTTAACAAATCAGGCTTTTACAGAAAAGTGCCTGTTTGGAATGGGGCTAAATTATGTTATGGTATTTCCGGAATCACGTAACAGTTTTGGCCTCATTTTCTCATGATGAAGGGTCCTGGGCTTAACAGAAGAAAGTTCAGTCAAACTGGCTTAGATGTGGGTTTTGGTTCAAATCCCAGGTAGTATGTTCTTTATATTACCTTTTTGAGAGTTCTTTCCTTTAGGAAAAGATCAATTTTGAAAGGTGGTTTTATTGCCAGATTTGAGCTCTGGAGCATATTTTATTTTAGGACAAAAGCTCATTTTAACATGTTCTCATCAGGTAATGCCACAATATATATCACCCTGTTCCTGAAAGGGTCATTTTGTCAGTTAAAGCCTTGTTTGTTTACAGTGGTGGATAATCGGATCGTATGCCTGCAGATATCAGACTTTCAGGAATATTAAATTTGTGGTCTGAGATCACTGTGAAGTTGATACAAGGTTTTGATCGTTGGATTAAAGGTCAACCTCGTACTCAGCATTACTCAAAATATCGTAGAATCTAACTCCTTGTTTTTTCATTCTCGATACATGTATTAATGTGCGGAGCCTGGTCAGCAAAACTGGCTGCCATGGTGTGCAACATGATCATATTTGTACACTCTTGTGTGCACCTACATGCACATATCCCAAGCAACAGTCAGTGTCGCTTCACTTACCAACTTCATCCTACATGGTGCCCTGTGCAATAAAGTCTTACTGCGTAGATGTTAACTGTCAGTTGGCCACATGCTGTCACAATATGGGTTGAGGGCATGCATGTACCTATAAACAAAATTCAATTAATACCCAATTTGTATAACACAGCTTTAATTTTCAGCAGACTGAAGGCTTTCAAAATGTACTAAAAGCACATTGAGAAAGTCCACAGAAATGTCTTTTAAAGATCAGCTCAGCTTGCAGCCTGTTTTCATGCAAAATACTGAAAAAAGATTTGGAGGCAAAGTGAGTGAGAGTTTGTCATCCTGATGATTACCACAGCTTCTTGAGAAAGCTTTGAATCCCGCATATTCTAAATGCACAGTAAGCAACTAGAACAGGTACTGGCTACAATTGTGAAATGCTCGTGTGAAGTCCAGTGTGCCATCATCTCAATATACTTCATCTGTGAATAGAGAGGAAAATATTTTCTGACATTAACATTTTTATTTAACAGCTTAATTAAAATCACCAAATTTTTCATCAAAGGCAGTAAAGTTTTTGATCTACAAAACAGAATTAACAATTTCATGTTTCTAAAGACTGGCATGAAAATTCAACAATTTAAGAGTAGCAACACCAGCACATGTATACTACATACCACTACACCGTGTATTGCTTACCAGACAAAAAAACGTAGTTACAGTTTTAGCTCAAGATACTTGGATTGTTTGCTATGATTTCAAAATGGGTGATTTTAAGTTCAGATATAAGCAAGGTTTGTAGTTTGAGGTTGACTTGATATTTTTTAGTTTCCAAGAAACTCTTTAAATACTTTATTCACATCCACTATGTTTTTATCTTGAAACTTAAGCAGTGTTGCTGGGTCCTCACCAGGCCCACTTGTCTGGCTTCTTCAGGATTTTATGTTTTCACACATGATATGGTCAGTAGCCCTTTCATCACTTATTGCCCATGTGTACATGTCTAACTTATCACCACTGATTATGAAATATGCTACAAAACATGTGTTTTACATTCTTACGGCAACAACATCCATTAGCCATATCAACAGACCAGCAGAAGAAACTTTTGTGACACTCTTGTAATGCAGCAACAATCCTGAAACTGCTGAAATTTCAATAATTTTAAAGTTTATTTTATTTGGCTTTTGACCCTTGAGAAAAACAGATAAATGTACTGACATTAGACATTTTTCCTGTCACCTTCAACAATTTTGTTAATATCAAACTGTTCATATCAACCATAATAGATAGTAAACAACAAGGATCTGGGTAACAAGGTGCTTTCACATAATTGGTGTGATAATGAGAATCAGTCACAAGTTTCGTTTATAGGACAAGCTATAGTGACACTCTTATTAAAGTGCTAATAAGAAATGTCAAACTACTTGCAGGAAGATCCCTCTTCCAATGGGTCTCAACCCCAGGCTCAAATCATGAGGTTCATGTGAGGGATAAGTTTCCAACACAACATGTACATGTACTGCCAAACAAGTTTGGGATGCAGAAATCTGTGCCCCCCAAGAATTTACATACCCAGTAAACCAAGGTGCACCACTGATAAACGATAATGACATTAATAATCTTAAGGCTACAGTGGAGGCAGGAAAGAGGAGGGCATCTTTATAGTACTCAGAAAAGGGAAGCACCAAGTGTAAATTTTCACAATAATTTCTTACCCAATGTAAACAAATGAAGGGCATCTTCCCAATAGATGGAGTTCTGGCTTGGGTTGATATTGTAATGAATATGTATATTGTATATATAATGTAATTTGTATATATAATGTATGTTATATACAGTGCCAGTTAAGGGTACTGATGCCAGAGGCAGAGATGCCTAGACTCGACTCAAATGGGGATCTTCTGTGGCGTTTGCGTTTATGCTATGGTTATGGAAACCGTGCGTCGTTACTTCCTTTGCGCCCTCTTGTGTCCACTAGGTCTACATCGCTCTACGTACCCAACGGTCACTACATATGCAAATTTCCCATGCGTGTATGGCTATTCGCTGAAAAGACTTAATCATCCAAAGTCCTGTATGACCTCCCACTATGCACTGCCGTCTCGTCGCCATGTTTTCCTTCTTTTCTCACCGCCGTATCGTGTATCGCAACAGACGTGTCTTTTAGACATCCTCAAGTTTTTCGAGTTCCGTTCTGGTCATCCAGTCATCGTTTTGAATAAACCTTTACCTTGTGTAATTTCAATCTTGTTGGTAAGAGTGTTATTTCCGGCCTTGTTTATTGCATGGAGGAAGGACACAGAAGGAGTTGTAACTCACTCACTTCAAAGCGTCCAATGATGGTCGCCGCCGCGTCTGATGCTTTATTGCTGCCTGCATCTTAGCCAGACAAGCGGGG